GATTGTAAAATGGGCTCAGTGCGAAAAAATAAAAACTATCCCATAACCTGGTGCGAAATGCCAGAACTTTAGAAATTAATTATTCGCACCAAGCTGGTGCGAATGGCAATGTCTCTACGGTAGTAGGACCTTGATTGTCACCACTAGCTGGGGTTATTGGTACTTCTTTTAGAGTCTTTTGCCAAGATTGTGTGTTGATTTGCATCATGGTCGATCGAAGGGGTGACTTTAATCGACCTTGTGTGAGACAAGGTCATTCATATGTGGTGGCTCTAAGTAAAATCGCTTCCCGCTCCTCGTACAGCTCTACTTGATTGGTGGCTACGGGATCGACTATACCTTCCCGAACCAGACTGAGATGTACGATCCACAAACGAACAGGTGAGTTGTGTCGTTTCTTTAGACTTGTCCAAGAGTCTGATTTTTTTTAAACGCCAATGGTACAGAACCTGCAGAAGTGGCACCTGAGGACGGTGACTGGGATCGGCCCTTTTTAGGAAACTTGGGGTCACGGTTGAAGCGGTCCTGTGACAAAGACTCGAGCCTTGGACATTCAGGAGATCCTCGAGGGACTCTGTCAGACTTGCCGCTGTTTCAGGCGCCTGGTCTTCTGAAGTTCATCTCTGGAAGTTTGGGGCGTACTGCGCCTGGACTCCCTTATGTGGAATGCCGAGAGGAGTCGATAACACCTTAAGTGATTTCCCTACAGTCTCTAGCACAACTTCCTCAGTCTTGCGGCCCTCTTTGGATCAGGATACTTGTCACTTACGCAGTTCGAACTTGTAAGATTTTCTTTACATACTTGCAGATGGACTCAAGTCGCTGACATCCCCACCCCTCGCGGGGACCTCATGTGCGCCTCGCTCAACGGCCTCGTCTATGCCATCGGGGGCTACTACGTAAGCGGCTGGGCGCAGCTCAATTTGAAAGATCAAGATTTGTTTCCTTCCTGTTGTGAACGGTGACCTTCGACAGTCTTGCAATGTCAAAAATGCGATTATGGTTTGAATACTACTTTGATGGCAGCGGATGCTTCATGAGACTCTTTCTTGGTAGGGCCGCAACTTCAGCGGGCAGTCTTGTTCCCTAGTGTTGTTCACTTCACATGTCTGGATGACTAGTCTAATCGGATCAGGTGGAGAGGCTTTTGACAAACATCCTTGCAAGCTTGAAGTTTTGTCCTGATTATCAAGCTCAGTTCTACTTGAAACAATAAACCAACAGCTTTGTGCTCTTTCATTTGTCTTCTTTCGTCCCGTTTTGGTCGGCCGATGTTGGCATGGTCACGCTATATCCAAACGCTGCCTTTTGCTGCGTTGCAGGATTCTACGAATCAATTCCTTGCCAACCAATTTTCGTTCAAGAATGAGGTTTACGATCCTAGAACCAACAAGTGGACCACCAAGGCGCCCATGCTCACGGCCCGGGGGGATGCGGTGAGTCTGTTGGAAATGAAAACTCTTTACGCTGGCTGGGCCTGTTTCTTAACGTTTGTTGAGTGCCCTTCTCTCAAAAGCCTCGTTTGAGCAATTGTTGCAGCAAGAACGGAGCTTGCTCGGACGATGGAACGGGTCCTCTCCTGGGTGAACTTGAAGGGCTTTGTTTTGGATGGACAAGTCGTTTGGACGATTCTTTGGACGAACTTGACGGATCTCGCGTTCTAGAGCTGCGCAGGGGGTTGACCAAGTTGCACGCTTGTGACTGTAGGGGATCGCTGTCCTGGACAACGACCGTATTCTGGTGGTGGGAGGCGAAGGGCACATCCGCAACGACTCCAACATCAAGGTGCCGAGGCACGTCAACGAGGTGAGGACCCAACGCCGTTCTTTGTGGTCCTCCGGAAGCAGCAGGGACCATACGGCTGGTTGCTGCGAGTTCCGGAAGCAGCAAAGACCAAACGGTCGAAGCTCGATACTCTGGCGCTACCTCAGCACAACTTTGCTGCATGAGTGCGAGGAGAAGAAAGCTTTGTCAGACTTTGACCCTGGAACAAGGACGAGACCCCTTACCTTTTGCGGGTAAGGGGTTTGTGGCAGGATTGCTCGAGCTGAATTTGTATTCAGCTACAAGGTCTGCTTGTCGCTGATTCTTTCCAGTCCTTTGAGCTGCGATCCGATTGTCCGCTCCATGCCTTGGTCACGTGCATCCGAGAAGTCAACGCCTTCTTTTGGCATTCCTGCCAAAACCTTCGAGTGTGACCACTTCGCTGTAAAACGGTTACCAATCTTCTGGGCAAGCAGAAGGGCCCACTCAAAACGACGTGTCAGAAAGTTTTTTTGGTGATCCTCCCTTCCGTTTTGCAGGTGTACTATGCTGTTGACGACGTGTGGGTTCAGAAGGGCATGATCCCCACCGCTCGTTTCCGCTGCGGAGCCGCTGATGCGGGAGGTTTAGCATTCGTTTTTGGGGGCGCCGATCTGTGCCCCGATGGTAACCTAGGCTGCCCGGCGCAAACTACCGTAGAGGTCTTCTTGGATGTGGTACACCCCCGCATCTACATGTACCTGAAGGATCAACCGGAAGAGTCGGTAGACATCCCTGCAGGCACGAACCAAATCTAGGGGCCTGCCTAGCCGGGCCCCGGGGTCTCTGTGAGACCCCTTTTGTTGTTTCTTTGCATGATTGATTAGATAGACTGAGTATAGTTGCACGTCTCGTTTGGCATCCGCTGGTAGGAGGCCCTCGCGCGCTTTCGACGTAGGCCCACGAAGCTTGTATATTCTTTGCACATAGAATGCAAGCTAGCATAACCGGCAACAATCTGTCAGGATCTGATTGAGCTTGAGGCTGTAGTGCTGATGTCACCAAACCGTCGGTAAAATTCTCTTCAAAGCTGCACCAACCCCTACGACGCACCTTAAATGTGTTTTTCACATCGGTGGCATCCGAAGTGCAGCTAATGACTTGTCACCGAGCTGCTTTGATTGCTATAGAGCATCGATGCTGAAGCATGTTATTACGATCGGACCCTCATCGTGCACCCGGACCCCACCACCAGTGATATCTAATTGAAAATTTTCCAATTAGAATGATGGTTAACCATCATTCCGACATGCACGTCAACAGCTGTTTCAGGTTGACTCTCAACCAGTATTGCTGACTAGCCAATCTCTATTCTAAGTGGATCATGCACGGCATGTACGGTGAAGGTTATTCCTGCGGCGCTCTCTCATTTCTGGCAGCTTTGCCCGGCACTGCCAACGGGTGCGGCGGCAGCTGAAACATGAAACAGATGATCGTTTGCTCTCAAGCTTCAGCTTTCAAAGTTCAGATTTCAGATCCAGTGTCGGCTTGAAGTTACGTGTTTTATAAGGCCGATCTTTATGGACAGCGCGGAGTTAGCAAGGCCATCATTGCACTGATACCACGCCACGCCGACCTGTGGGCTGTCAGATCTCCGTTTTTACGTTCACCACTGTCACGTGCCATGTGTGCCTCGATCACTATAGAACGCATTGATCGATCTGGCCTCCTGGGCAATGGCTATAATAAGAAGCCCACGCGCATGTGCCCCCGGCGGCACGCACGTGGGCGCTGATTGGTGGTTCGCCCAATGATATTAGTGGGGCCAATTCATCGCCAAGATTATACGCGCGACTTGTCAACATGCAAAGCTTCCTTAATTCATGTGGATAAGTTCGTGATCCTTCAGGCGCGCATTTCAGCTTGACTACATCGCATCTCAACCACCAGATTGTCTGCCGGGTAGGCCAGCTAGTGAAATCATGCAGGCCTTCTGTCCGATAACATCTTCTTGATTATGAATCTGGCCTCTTCAAACAACAACCTTTTCTAGGATCGACGTCAGAAACTTTCACCTTATTAGATTCAACTCCAACCCAGCACCTAGGGTCTCGCGGCCGCCTGACGACTCAATCTTTCTGAGCATAAGTGTTTATTACAGAAGTGAGAACACAAGTGCCGCCCCAGACACGAGCAGGACAAGCAGCGACACGGCCCCACGAGCAAACGCCCCGCTGGTGTAGGGCGCGCAAAATGTGGTCAAGTTCTGACCGTTGAGCTGCGTCCACGTGGAACCGTCGGCGGACAGCGTGGCACCCCCCAAGTCGACGGAGCTGAAGTACTTGGAGTAGAACGCAACCCAGCACGCGTCGTAGTTGCTGTAGAGACACAAGGGGGGCCGGATCGTTCAAAGAGCGTCAATCTTCGAAGGGTGCGCAAGTAGGTCGCGATCGATGTTCATCGGGATTGGGTTCGAAATCTGACGGTACGTGCAACAGTTGATCGAGCCAAGCAAACGCACAGATCACGTACCTTGATTGCTGACAGAAGGGGCCAGGAGCCGGACGACCTATTACGAATGAAAGTGCAGAAAGCCGTTATCTACAGCATCTCTGAAGTCGCGTTGAGTTTGCTCTAATCGTTCGTCATCTGCTATTGAAGGCCAAGATTATGCCACTGGGATTAAAAGGAGGAGGCGGCCAAACTTACGAGCGAGCTCTGACGCAGTTCGGTTGGCAGAAGCCGACTGGGTTTGCAGCGGTGGCGGTGACCGTCGCATTTTGGGCGTCATAAACGCTGCCGGATGCCGTGACGGCAGCAGGGTCGAGGTACGGACACAACTTGTTCAGCTGCAAGAATAAGCAAGGGAACAAGTGTGGGGCTGGATAAAAGGCACTTGACACAAGGTAAAAACGATTGTAACCAATGTAGATATCGACTGCAGGGCAGCTTCGAAGGGCAGACGTAGTCACAACCGACTTCAGACGAGCACGTTAAAGAGCATTTGGTATCCACGAGAAGAAACAAAGTCCTCCTCACAATTGCCACCAAATAGCAGGTTGCAAAACCGCCCCTTGTCTTACACGAATGCTAGACTGACATCCTGACGTTTCTGTCATCTTCTGTGAAATTTAGAACAGGCCGTCAAACTTGCTGCACGTCCGCAGGGCTCGCATCTGACAGCCAATCCGCAGCTGCCGTCGCCTTTGAATATGCTAGCTTGATGCAAGTCTACAAGTCACTCCGTTGCTTTTTTATGGATCCTTACCCCTGTCACACATCCCTGCATGTCGTTTCTGTAGGCCAGGGCCAACTGAGCACCAGAAGTGGCATAGTTGAAGTTCTCGCCTGTACGGGGGCAAGGTCGCTTGCCTGAGTCCATGCTGAAACCTAATTCTTCAGATGCAAGCTCAAGTGAAGTACTATCCATGAGCTAGCTTGCTCAACATCTCTAAATCCTTAACACCGGAAGACGCAGGTGCTCTTCCTACTCATTTTCGGTTGAAGTAGTGTAGAACTTGGAACAAGCTGAAAGTGAGAGAGAACAAATACTACAAGGGTTCTGTGGTGGCATGTATTTTCTGCAATGCTTGCACCTCCTGGCCTTATCGTCTTGAGAGCACTCCCAATATCGCCTTATGAAGTCAGAATGAATCAAGTCACACCGTGGTGTAAGTCAGTTGCTGCAAGCTTAGTATCGCTTTCACATTCCGTTGCCCCACTCTATGTCGTGCCTACCTTTGACACAGGTGAAGCTTGTGCCTGCAAGGATGAGTATGACGGCCCAAACCCCATACGCATTCAAACTCCGTCTGCATGGCTGAGGCTGAGCAGATCTGCTGCTTGAAGCGGCGGTTCGGAGAGCAGCATTGAGGTCCGCTGGAGCCATATCTGCATGGGTTTCACCAGTTCACCAGCTGAGGAGCAGGTCTAGCAGGGCGCACTTCCCTTCTGGCGAAAGGCTCTGTCCAAACACAACTTCACTGCTGCAAACTTGCAACATTTATGAACAAGAAGTCCGGCGCAGGCGCAATGCAGGCCGTACACAATCTGGCAGACAACGCTCACTCTGCCAAAGGCTGTGATCAGCGCCACTTTCCAGGTAACTCTTTTCACGTCTAAGTCACATTGTTTTGCTGTATGACTGGGGCATGATGTGGGTCAACTCTGCGGCTCAAGAGACGTGACACTGACAATATATATACGCTAAGCTCGCAAATGCAACATGTTTGGCAACAAGTGCTCTATAGGAAGTACCGTACCTACCTGCACAACAGAAAGAGTGCATTTCTTGAGTACCTACTACTACTTTGGGTACAAATGCATGCAAGACCCATATTATGCTCCATAATTAAATTGAATAAATGGAGGGCATTTCTGCATATCGCACGGTTTTGAGATTCTGTCGTGTACTTCGCACCGTCGATAAAAGCTGAAAGCTGCGTCGACGGACGTATTTCTTACAGCACCGTTGGCACCAGTTCCGGTGCCAGCAGACAGGAAATAACGAAGCCAGTCTACGCGTACGATCCTTACATAGGTCTGGGTTTCGAAGCAAAGAGGAGGTCGAAACACAATCAATTGATACAGCTTGAAGCCAAAACGGCTGCGCCAGCACTGGATGCTCCGCCTCAGCTGCCAGTTCCGCATGAAGAATATCCAGTGCCACGCATCATTCCGCTATATGACAAGGAATCGCCAGGTTACGCAAGCCTGGTTGTGACAAAACCGTTACGCCAGCAACGACGGTGCAACTCGAGGGATGACTCTGACCAATTGAATACGCACAGCTTCAAAGCCATCAAGTGCGGCATCTGATCACGCCGTCAAAAGAGAAGACATAAGGGCCTTGAACGACAGCACTTGATCAACATTTTCTTGCACGCCATTACAATTTGTGGAGCCACAAGCAAAGATGGAGTCTGCAGGGAGAAGATGCAATGCTTCCCATCTTGCCGGCCTTCTTTTGCTTCTGATGGGTTTCCTCCAGGTCTGCAGAGTCCAGGGTGAGCATTTGGAGACTTCTGGATGTGGCAGCCACTTTTTGAACAAAGCTTCGTTGTCAGGCCAGAGGATGCAAATGAAGAACATTGCTTAGAGAGCTTCATGCAAAGCCTACAAAAAAATGAGGAGAGCCTTTTCAGCATTGCTTTAGTTTGTCGCCTGGTCAACATTCAAAAAGGGCCAAGTGGTGGTTATAACGGACGGCACTAGCATTCAGCCTCTTGCACTTCTGAAGCAATGCTGCAAAGCATCGGCCTGTGTAGTCCACCCAAGAGTTAATGACAAGTGACTTTTAGTGAAAGCAAAGCATGGGCGGTCGGCCGAAAGACCTGCTGGAAGGTGTGGTGGATGCTTCTGTTCAATGCTGGGGCTTCGACTTTACAAGGACTCTTGATGGCATCAGAAGCGTTCCAACCTTAAAGGACTCAAAGACTGACTATAACAACAAGCTTGAGTGGCTTCTGGTGTATAGCAGACCCCCAGTTGACGTAAAGTATGTCTCCTAGCTTCAAACGAATCGGATACAAGCAGCAATGGCTGTTACCTCAGAATAGCCAGTCCTAAGGAACCTGGTCAATTAGGTTCTTGTGGCGCTTGATATCCTTCGCTAGTTAGTATGGAATGCCAGCTGAAAAGGGACAAGCAATGGTTGAATCACCAGGTTTAAACGCCTGAAGTAATGCTGAGCGCAGGAATAGAGCACGCTTTGCTCTCTTCGTACAGGTCAAGTGAACGCCACGCAAGCTGAGTACCTCGACCCTGACGCGCTGACTGCAATCAATGCTTGCTTCAATCGAGTGAGTATTTTGATTCGTCAAGGGAGTGAAAGCTTCTGCTCTCACACCGCTTTCCCCTCTTGAACAGTACGTTGCGGATCAAGTTAGGGGCAGGAAAGACAGGGCCTTTGAGCTGCTTCTCCTAGATTGCATATGCAACTCGTAATCTGGACGGGCTCTCATTTTCACATTTGGTCCGTTGCTGCAGTTGAATGGAAAGTGCCCCGACTCGCCGGCCAAGATGGCAGGGGGCAACCCCTTCTTCAACGTCACGAGCGGAACCATGAGCTACCTCATGAAGCAGTACTGCTGGGCCAACTGCGTGTCGGCACGGAACTCAATGGCGGTGAGCTCCGCCTTTCGACCCCTGCTTTTACCTCTCAAAACCCAACGCAACGATCGGGTGAGAATCCTGAGATGCATGGCGGACACGTCCAAGACCTGTCAACATCGCGATGCCGAGGGTTGCAGGCTACTTGCTTGACTGAGCAGAATTTGAACATCGATTTTCAACTGTAGGCCTGTGCGTAGAATTTGAACAGCGATTTTCAACAAGAGGCCTGTGCGTCTGCTTGCCACGGTTCGCCTGTTGTTCGTCGAGGCTGAGATTTGCTTAGCAAGCCTCTCGAACGTAAAGCCGAGAGTAACTTCCTCCTGACATGCTGAGAACTGAATCGCGGTGTAACCGCTTCCGCTGTGTCGTTGTCGAACTGACTACGTACGTATCAACCGCTTCAAAAGACGCGCAGGCAGCTCTCACCAGACTTCAGCTGTCGGCTCACATTATTATATCGCTCGGAAGTGAAGTGAGCGGTAGATCCTCAAGACAAGAACTTCGAAAGAAGCTTTTCCCGCATTCGAGCTCAGGCTGGCACTCGTCTCACCAAGCGTTTCTAACGTGCAAGAGGTAGTCTGAAGGACGACCCATGAAAAGGAAAAGCGGAGGCCGAAACGGGAATCACTCTCACCTCCCGTTCCTACATGGACGACAAGAATCTCCAAGGTCAAATAGTCCAACGCATAAGCGCAGAGTAACGCTCCCATCTCGTATCCCCCGCAGGCGTGCGCGGACAACGTCATCTCCCAGTACGACCTGAACGCCACCATGGCGCCGCTCTACTACCCGCCCGCCGAAGCCGCGGCCGCCATCGCGACCGCCAACATCGTCGTCACCATGCGCTCGCTGGCAGGGAGCGACACCATCACCACGAGCGCGGCCGCGGTGGCGGCGTCGAACGCGGACCTGGCGGAGCAGATCCTGAACTGGTGCGAGGTCAACGACCCGAATCTGAAAGTCGTGATGTACTCGGGCGCGAGCAGGAGAGGCGTGCTTACGGCGTTGGGGCTGCTGGCGGGCTTGATGAGTGCGGTTGCCGCGATTGGGCTGTGAGAAATGTTTCGTGCGAGCGCTAGCTTGCAAGGGCCGGCGTGTCATGGAGACGAGGGCAGAGGTGGGATGCGCAAGCAGACGATGGTACGTTCGCGGGAAGGTCTCTTGATTGACCGGCTGTGCAGAGTGTAGAGAAGAATAGACAGGTACAGAAAACCGAAAGCTGCGATAGGAGGATGCTTATACTAAATTACGCTTTTCGCGATCACTGATCTTAGGACTGATTGACTGCTTAGGTGGGTTGATATAATTAGGAAAACAAGACCGCGTAATCCTGATCCCGGGCCCGGCCGGGGAAGACCGAAAGGGTGAAGCCGACATATTGCAAGGAAAGATCAAAGGCGGGTTTGTCACGCATGCGATATAAAGAATGCAGGCAATACTGGTAGCAACGGTCCAAAGCTTAATAGCGGCGGCGGCCGCCCTCGACATCCCATGATGTGTACAATTGTTCGCTTTCAGCTGGTCAGTTGATTGTGCCTTTGGCAGGCAGCCGGATCATCAATGCACTCGCCGTATACGTACGGACGATTCTCTGGCTAGCAAAGGCCGTACAATGGAAGTACTCACGGACATCGTGAGATCTGTTTGCTGAATGCTGAGGCCGTCTGTAACGCAGACTGCTTTTGGTTGTGAGGAGCATCGAGTAGCTGGTAATCATGCAGGCAATATAGAAAAGGACGGCCGATCCACGATTGCGCCCGCACGTGCGATTGGTAGCTGCATGTATATGTACGTGCTATAGGCCCCTAGCACTTAATTTGGCTAGCTAACGATCAAGCTTCTAATTTGCATATCAGTGCCATGGAATTCATTGAACCTACGCGGTGCAAGTATCAGGGCGCAAGCGACATGCATATTCATGACGGCTTTCAGCTCCGATCGAATATGCAATTGTTGTGTACCACCGTTGAAGAACAATCACCTGCGGAGGGCGATACACAGATACTTGGATCGTAGCAAGCTAGCTGAAGAATGCGGGCCCTAGCTCTTAAAGGTAATCAGCTTTCGAGGCCGGCCGTGCTGCCTAGAGGCCGCCACCCTAGCTGGCTCGATCATGCATCCACGTACGATTAAAGATTGGACTGGCCGCGATCGAAATTACCCTTGGACGTGGTAACTTCGTGTGCCGATGCATTCCCAAGAAAATCACTGGGAGAACGACGGTAGGTTCTGATCCGCGTTCGCAAGTACCGTGCGTCGATCGTACATGCAACCAGTGCGTTTTGCATGCCTGTTGGAGATTGTGACTGTGTTGCCCAGACTTGGCTGATCCTGGTCGCCGAGTCACTAAGTTACAGTCAGACAGTATACAAACAATGTCTCGTGTGTGGATAACCTCCGTGGCAGGCATTGCAGCTGAGACGGTTCGTCGATGAATCTCCCCCTGAATCGAAAACGTGTTCGGCCCGATAGAGTTGGCGGCACACGTACTCCTCATGTTTCTCAAGCGAAAACTTTAGAGCAAGCTCAGCTGATTCACGTTGGATGCCCTTGGGGCCTTGATAAAACACGGGACCCGTTGGCTGTCGGGGCCCGGCCTTCTAGCCCATTCGTTGCTCCCGAAGCATGACCTGCAGAGACGGTCGTCCAGTTATCATTCTGATGAGCTCAAACCGTATTCGTCTCAAGCGAACCCGTTTGAGTCACCCCACTAGTGCGCACTATCAACATCTGAGTTTCACGTTGGAGGGTTGTCCAGACAAAGTCACCGTCCCCAGCCCCTCCCAAATCAGTAATGCTCTGACATTGTAAACCAAACCCAGTAGCTGCAAACGGATCCAGTCTGCGAAGCAAAATCTTCCGTTTCACAAGCCTAATAGGAAATGCACATGCCGACGGCCTGCCTTCCTGATTGACAAAGCCTTGATCCTTTGCAAGGACCAAGAAGACACAAGAGCTTCTCGTGGCTGAATCGGCCTTTTAGACCCGGACTTACAGCTCGTACGTCAGAGGTCCAGGCGACATGTACACCGGGCCCCAATCTTCCTACCGACCTAAGATCAGTGGGAGCGGCTTTGACTTCGAATGGGTACTGAGGAACCGTTCTCACTTCTGGGCTGAACTTTATTAGGATCGTAGTCCGCGGCCGGAGCTGGCCTTCGATTGGGACGAAGTGCGCCGTGACTCTGGCAGGAAAACCAGCGCTGTCGAGCACGCCCTGCGAAAGAATGCAGATTCTTCGCCTCGAACATGGAAATTGAGCTACTGAGAAGTCCTTGTGTCGGAACGTTCAAAAGTTCAGGATTGATTAGGAGGGAGTCCCAACAACTTGCGTACAGTTCCGTCCAAATTGTTTGTGTTCAGAGACACAAAGTGGTGAATTAAAGTTCTCGGACAAACGGTGGAACACACGCCGGGTCAAGAGAATGACACGAAAGTGTAAGAGTTCCGACTATCTCAAGTAATCAACATCTCGTTCCTCTTCTGTACGCATCAGGATCCGCATGCATAACGAGAATTGTCCAAGATATGGTACACCTATGCGTTCACACTTCCAAAGAGAGTCTTTGTGTCCTGGCGAGATTGGTAAGTGGGTCTGCTGAAGGCAAGACGCTAGTGCAACATTGGACACTCTGGGTGACGACTGGGGGGGAACCGGGACGGACGAGGGCTGCTTTACACCTTCGCAATGAAGCTCCGCTCGCCAAGATGAACTGAAGAAGAAGCTAAGGGCGGATTACCTTTACAATTCCCGCCACGTATGCTCCGCAATTGAACTGGCCCATGTCTTTAGGAACAGAGATGAATCTGCATTCAATACAGCTAAGACGTGAGTGGGACAAAGCGGCAGCTAAGAACATACATCCAGAACTTGCACAAGCAAAGTCTTACGGGTGCTAAAAGTCCACACAACTTTCTGATCATGCAAGCATCAAGACGGACCACGAAATAGCCTTTCTATTATTCCATCCCACTGCCTTGACTGCAGCACAAGGAAGCGTTGGACAGGTCGGAGATGGACAAACCCACCTATTTACAAGGAGCTCTTTCTCGCTGATCATGTACTCGTCTTCCTCAGTTGTCGCTTTCTCGAGAGAGTCCGCTTGCTGTCCATGCAATGAAGGATGGGAGACCACTGTCAAATCTGGAATTGCAGTTGAGTCCTTGAGCAAAAAGTTTTTCTTCGCCCCCCACTTTCGACTCTGCCTATGTTTCAACGTGTACAAATCTCATCAGATGAGGAAGCATCGTTGTGGACGAGTTGCCCGCCACGTGGACAGGCAGCCAATCAGTACCGGATGGAAAGATGCTCCATGCCAACAACACGGGAGTAAGGAGGCCAATCAAAAACTTTTATTAACAGTAGTCTCACCTTTCCGAAGAGAGCCTTCCATACTGTCGAATGGATGAACGTCAAAATTCCGAGTAACCGGGTCTCCCTTCTGTTCGCCTGCAAAATCGGACAGAGTTATTTAAAACACTAACACTGAATTGCAGCCTTGCACCTGCTGGCGTATTGCATCCAATTGATACTCTCTCATTGAAGCAGTCATACCAGGCCGGCTGCCATCAAACACAACCAATTGAGTACTTTACTGTGTTTGAAAACTGGACAAAACGTTTGATGATGTGCGTCAAGCGCCAATCAAATTCCGAATCTTCCAGCTAGACTGGGGCGTTCATTCAGATCAGCCTAGTGAACAGAAAGGGAACTGAAGACGCAACGGCATCAAGACCGCCTAAAGAAGGAGCAGGGCCATCTAGGTGTGGCTGAGAAATTTGTAGGATGCGCTCACCTTTTCCCGATGACACAGGAGCTCCAGCACTCGAAGGCCCACCCCATACCCTGCCTCCTCTAGCTTCCTCTCAAGTTCGTTGACATTGTTCACCTTGGTTTGGAAGTACTGGACAAGCTCGCTGAAGAGGAATGCGAACGCACTCAGGTTTACCTGCATCAGAACATGCCAGAGCGTTGATGGCGGATCATACTGTTTGGTTCTGTCAAGATCGTGAAAATGCTGACTGCCAAAGCGACTGAATTTTTTTAAGTGAAAGTAGACCCCAGCTAAGATCAGGTCTTTTTCCTAAAGGTTGATTGTAGATTGCTTACGCAGTAGGCAGGGAGGACCTGCGGTGCCAAGTGGCACATTTGATGAATTGATCGTTGAGCTATTGTTTGACAACTAGTGACCCAATTGCAACTTGGTATGGAAAGTTCCTGAAGACCAGAATACCACCACTGCTGGAGAGAAGTTTCCATTGTGAAGCCATATTCAACAGGATTGCAAAGAAATTGGGGCTGCACAGGTTTATCCAAAAGTTGTGATGAACTTCAGGTGCATCAAAGAATGCACACAATCTGGAAGCGCTGGTCTCAGGCAGACAGCAATTTTCGAGCTCAATCAAGGCGCTACTCTTCAGTGGCTCTCCACCCTCTCGGCTTTCTGGAAAAACTCTTTCAATCCAATGATCGGTTCTTTCCACCTTGCAACGCTGACCCTACCTCTGTCTTGCCCTTTGGCAAAGGCCGGTCCACAACGTTCACCAAATGGGCCCTACCGCGCGCAACTCCCAGCATGATGGCAGGCTGCCCCTTTCAGAATCTCCAAGTTGGCTGAACAGCATAATTAATTGCACTTGTGCGCCAATTGCTCCATTCCAAAAACCGCTTGCACCAACTCTATGCACGTTGGTGCCCACGGTTGAACCTCCTCGCCTCTCTACCTGTCAAGATGTAGCAGGATTGACCAGGATCAAACTGCTGTCTTGTAGGATCAAAGCGCTTTCCTGTAGGATAACTTCAATATTATTAAAGAAGAAGCTCTTTTACTCTAGCCTTTTAAAATAATATTATTAATTTGGCTCTAGCTGTTCAATAAACTTGCATTGCAGAGCCGCAACGAGAGCGAGCCAACATGTAGGACATTCTGGGCTGTTCGTTTTGCCGATTTGCAGGCGGTACGGGATAAGGGTGCCGGTCCTCCGACCGCTTCAGCCCCTCAAGAAAAATCGGGGTCATGGAGACTTCAACCGACCTTAATCTGACCTGATTAGAGCACTCAGGGACCGGCTCCGGCCACTTCCATCGCCCCGGGCCCGGGCCGATCCCGACTCCGAGCCCGGCCTGCCGGGCCATTGCGGTAACGGTTTGGTTCTATCGGCCGCCACGTGTACTTGTGCTGGCACAGGCAATTTGCAAACCCTAGATCGGTGCCGCTGTTTCAGTGTTTGCTTCTGTGGCGGCGCCGGTGTGCTTGATTCAGCAATTTCTCTTTGAACTCCTGGGCCAGCCGCCGATTCTGAGAAGCTATCTCTCTCTCTGCTCATTGAAAGGAGTCACAGAGGGTGTGTTACAAGGAATCCTTTTGCCTGCATTGACGACGCCATGGCGGCAACGGCCGCGCGGCATGGTTCCTTCGTTGGAAACTCCAGGCTGCTCTCAGATACGCATCCTAGCACATCCTCCCGGCTAAGAGATTGTGAGACAGTGTCACTGCATTCTAAAGGCTGTCGGAGGAAGAATGTTTGCGACGACGTTCCGTCGTCTTCTCTTTGGGGCCAGCAACTAGAAGTACTTAGCGCGGCGCAACGGATAGTTCATTGGCACCGGGAGCGGGGGTGTGCCGCGGTGCCTCGGTTGGTAGCAAGAGGATCTCAGCAGACGCAGTTTACATTCCCTGGAGTTCCGTCAGTAGAATCTGAAGGATTGTCAAGTCAGGGCAGAAGGGGCGACCTTCTAAGATGCAATGCCCAGGCTCAGCAGGTCGCCCGGATACCGGCCCGAACACCAGACGAGAAGTGTGAAAAGGTAAGCCTGCATCAAAAGTACTTATCCAAACAAACCTAGGGCACTCGTTAAGCTCAAACATACCGACAAGTCTCCGAGTGGACCCTAGAGTCAGTGGCTTGAGTTACGCCAGATGATCAACATTTCATTGAAAAGTCACAGCAACAAGTATTTCAGTTGTGGCTCTCATCAGGCTAACTCTGGCGGTCTTGGAGTATGGGGTTCTTCCTGACTCTCTACTTCAAATCTCCAGAAAGAAGCTGGCTCCATTTCGTGCAGGTCCCGGTGTCTCGCATCCGGAACTTCTCGATCATCGCTCACATCGACCACGGCAAGAGCACGCTTGCAGATCGGCTGCTGCAGTTCACAGGCACGGTGGAGGATCGGTTGATGAAGGGCCAGTTTCTGGACAATATGGATTTGGAGCGTGAGAGGGGGATCACCATCAAGCTGCAAGCGGCGCGCATGAAGTACGTGGCGGCCGATGGAGAGACTTACGTTCTCAACCTGATTGACACGCCGGGGCACGTCGACTTTTCGTATGAGGTGCGCACCCGCCCTTTTGCAAGGTGTAGATCCCGCGATGATTGTTCCTGTGTTGCGGTGCTGCTACGAGTTTCTAAGGTCCATAAGGAGCCAGGAGGAGCCGGCGTTTGCATAAATACGAAAAGGAGGGGGCAGGTAGAGAAGAGGACGTCCGGAAATTTGGTGCGGAGGACGGGCAATTGCCGGGAAGTTCCCCCCCGACCTACTGTGACAGGTTGCGTGCCATTCAATCAGTAATCAACAGCCAAGGAAGCCCGGGCATTGAGGCCTTTCTGATGCAGATGTTCCAGACTCAACAAGCTTTCGAGTGACCTTGAACAATGCTGGGGTCGATGAATTTAATTGATTGGCTTTTGCATTCATCTTTGTCCATACAAGCGAGGAGATGGTGAAGGCGAATATGAAGTGATTACTTCAGAGCACAAGTTGCGGACACGGCTGACATTGACAAAGTAGCCTCAGATTGGGCAAGCTGTTCCGTCTGTACTCAGCCAAAGAAAAGCTTCTCAAGAAAAGAGAACCAGATCAGCTCGTTCATTTGTTTGTTGCAGGTGTCTCGATCGTTGGCAGCATGCGAGGGGGCTCTTTTGGTGGTAGATGCAGCGCAGGGGGTGGAGGCGCAAACGTTGGCCAACGTCTATCTGGCCTTGGAGAACAATCTCGAGATCATTCCGGTGAGCTTTGATCTGCTAGAGCTCATTCCAAGTCCCACGTCTGACTTTTTGAGGCGTGCGGATTTCGTTGTAATTTGAACGATTATTTGATGCTTGTGTGTCTGAGAGTAGTGAGGACAATCTGCAGTAAATTCTGGGTGTGTTGGCTTTGATGGTTGATGGCCAAGCACGGGTTGGAAAGGCGTTTATCTGCAAAGGGGCGGATGCCGAATGGACAGTACGCAACAGACGTTTGTGTGGTGTCAAAGAAGTGTAGAAGAGAGCAAACGTAATTCAGGAGCCCTGCCCCTTTCCAGATTGGATAGGTACAAGCAAGCACCCCATGAAACATACTCATCAGGGAAACAATGAACCAACCAATCGTAAAGGCGGGCGCAGGAGTCGAGTACGATGGCGTGAAGTCGTCTGCAAGCGACGGACAGAACCCAGTGATTGTTGCACAAGCGCCTTGATCCGAAAGCTTTGTTGCAACTCCGCTTGATCCAGGTGTTGAACAAGATCGACCTGCCTGGCGCCGACGCCGAGGCGTGCAAGAAGGAGATTGAGGATGTTGTCGGCCTCGACACGAGCGGCGCGATTCTTTGCTCCGCGAAGGAGGGCATCGGTATCGAGGACATTCTCGAGGCGATCGTGGCCCGCGTTCCCGCCCCCCGGGACACAACGAAAGAGCCGTTCCGCGCGCTCATCTTCGACAGTTACTACGACGCGTACCGAGGAGTCATTGTCTACTTCCGGGTGATGGACGGGGAGGTGCGCGTAGGAGATACGGTGCGATTCATGAACAGCGGGAAGGAGTACGAGATCGACGATCTGGGCGTGATGGCGCCGAACCAGTTGCCGGTGAAAGCGCTGTACGCGGGGGAGGTCGGGTTCTTGTCCGGGAGCATACGGGCAGTGGCGGACGCGCGGGTCGGGGATACGATTACGATTGCGGGGAAACGGGCAGTGACGCCGCTACCAGGGTACGAGCAGGCGGTGCCCATGGTGTTCTGCGGGCTGTTCCCGGTGGATGCGGACCAGTGAGTGTGGAACTCTTTTCGCTTTCCTTTCCTCGATTTTCATACGTCAAGATGCGGTTATCCGTCCAGAGGCGCACGTTTGGCAAGATATGGCAGATGTAGGGGAAGCCCTCGAGCCCGCTGCTATACGGCCTGTAGCCCGAAAGAGGCTTAGTCGAAGGAAGGAGAGGCCCGCAACTGGAAGCGCGACATGGAGAGACATCAGGCAGCCAGACACTAGGGGCGCGGGAATGAGTGAAGAACAGAGCAGTCGTTAAAACGACAGGATTATCAGCTTTGCGAAGCGGGTGCGTCTTACTGCACGCAAGGCAGCCGTTGCAACCCGTCCCTGTCCCTAACATCCGGATAGAGTAGCAGCTTGATGCACAGTTTCGTCACCAACTGTCAGCACGCTCACTGACATTGACAAAACTTCTCAAATCGGCTTGCGATTATCTTAGTCTGCCATTCGACCCGGTGAACCTTCGGTCGTCTCGCGGATTCCTGACGGGCCCTATGCCGCCACCTGCAGGTTCCCGGACCTACGCGACGCCCTCGAGAAGCTGCAGCTGAACGACGCGGCGCTCAAGTTTGAGCCCGAGACGTCAAGCGCCATGGGGTTCGGCTTCCGATGCGGATTCCTGGGCTTGCTGCACATGGAAATTGTACAGGTTAGATTAGCGGAGTATTTACCCCGGGCAATAACTGGAGATACTTATGGACTGGTTGGGCAAGAGTCTGTTATGGGTTTGGATACTCTGATTGGGGCAAAATTGATCAATGCATATGGAGATCGTCCAGGTGAGCAGCAGGTTAACGTCCAATTGATGGAGATGCTTACGGAAACGCAAGAGTGATGGCCAGGGATCGTTCAGGAAGCAGTCAGCTTTTGCAGATTAGTCCGAAAGGTCGTTGAAGGTCGTAAGTCGCTGAAGGTTCCAGGTTGGTGGCTTGCTGGTGTTCTCGGCCACGCAATGAAGGAGAGTGTTCTTCAGCGGAAGCAGAGTTTAGCCATGTTTGATATTTTTCCGACAACTAGAGATGCGGATGGGTTTAACCACTGTAACTTCGAAAGTCACTTTTGGGATTGAACCAGGGGTCGAATGATTGCTGGCGTCGTATGTACTATCCCGATTCGATTGAGTCTGGAGATAGAAACCATCCGCATTTTCTTTGCCTACAGGAGCGGTTAGAGCGCGAGTACAACCTGAACCTGATCATCACGGCCCCCAGCGTGGTGTATAAAGTGCACTCTGCCGACGGGAGTGTCGTCATGGTGGACAACCCGGCGCAGCTGCCCGCCGCGGAGAAGCGCGCATTCATCGAGGAGCCGTACGTCCGGGTGAGCACCCCATCCGGACGGCTGTGCTCGCGCCACCTGTCATTTGACATGCCCGTGCCGTAGTGTTACCTGATTGCTCGGCTTTCGTGCTGCGTCGAGCCATGCGGCACCCGGAATAAGATGGACGGGTTTGTTGTTTCTCAACTTTGAACGGGTTCGGGGCCTCCACAACCGGGTTCTCTCACTGGAGTCTGTTTGCTTTCAACGATAGTCGCGTCATTCTCAAGGTCGAGGGCTTTGGTCTTATCGTTGGCTCTCAACGAGCCACTGGAGTTTGATGACGCTTTGTGAATGACGCTGTGCAACTCTGCATGATCACGCCCGAGACATATGCTTTGTCACCACGTCTCTCCTTTTGCGTGTTCCTCTCCCCCCTCTTCACTTCACACTCAATGCGGCATCCTTTTCCGGTGTGCAGATCAGCATGATCACACCGAAGGATTTCGTGGGCCCGCTGATGGAGCTGGCGCAGAACCGCCGCGGCGAGTTCACCGAGATGAAGTACATCACCGAGGCGCGCTGCGAGCTGGTCTACGAGCTGCCGCTGGGGGAGGTCAGCGGCTCGCCTCACTTTCCGCGTCTTCTTTACTCTGCTTACTACTGCGGCTGTGGCGAAAATTCGATTTTGGGCCCAGGTTTAGGGCCCAGAGTTCTTGGGCTGCGACAAACGCTGCGTTGGCTGCTAACTCCGTGTTCATTTGGGAACGGTCACGGATGGCTGCGACATAAGTTTGATTACGGCCCAGTATTCAGCATGCGTGTGCCCTCCTTTCGTCCTTTATAAGTGGCTGTCCCCTCCGGTCTCCGCTTTCCTTCTTTGTTTCGGTGCTATTGAGAGACTGGCCTATCAGCTGCTTGCAACGGCTCGCCTGCCGGTTTTTAGTTTTGGTCCTTGTTGCTTCTTCTCGCTATCTTTTCATTCAGGCTTCTCCTCTGTTTTTAGCGATCTTGGCGGTGCTCTCTCTGCGAAATCAGGACGCTTTGCAGCGGCTGGGAAATGCGTGCCGACAACCCTCTCTGGTTAGAGACTCTCCGGCGCTACAAGTATTCCGTTCTAAGTCTTCGTCTCTCCTTAGAAAAGTTTCCGTCATTCCGTCATCCCTGTTCGCCGTGGGAACAAACGGCTCAGACGAGGACGTTATTCTCTTTCAAGCCGCTCTGTTAAGCACTGACAAACCATCCTGGAACCTTTTCCTCGACGCTCTTCCTTTTTCGACCCCTGTTTTGACCCACTTGTCAACCAGCTCGGCTCCGACAGCAAGCGCGACAAACGTCAAGAGTCTTTGCCTCTCTCTCCCCCTCTTGCTTCTGATCCATATTGAACCCGCCTCAAACCCGCCTCCTCTTCGTTCCCGAGTAGTGACCGGCATTCCCGACTAGTTGAGACCGCTCACCAAACGTTTTCAGCATTTTCCCCCCTTGCTTCTAAGCCAATTCAACGGGGACTCGTCCTTCCCTTAACCTCCTTCCTGTTGGTCACCGGCTCAAGTAGTGCACTTTACAACACCAAGGTTGCTCAGCTTCTAAACTTGATGAACTCCCCCCAACCTTCCCCCACATCCTTGTTGTTTTCTCAGCACTCTGACCCGTTCCAAACCCCTTCAACCCTCGTTTGAATCCAGGTTCCCTGCCTGCCAAGTGGTCACTCAGTTTGTCGACATCATGCATCAAGTCGTGCATCAAGGGATACAAAGGTTGCTCATCTTCAGCCTCTTTTGAAACGCCCCCAACGCTCTTGTCCTTCAGCATCCCTAACACGTCCTGAACCGCTTTAAAGCTTACCTTAACCCATTTTTCACTCGTCCAGGTGGTGACCGACTTTTTCGACCAGCTCAAGTCGCGCACCAAGGGGTACGCGAGCATGGAGTACCACCTGATCGGGTACCGCCGCAACGAACTCGTACGCCTCGATCTCAATATCAACGGCGAGCCGTGCGACCCGCTCGCCACCATTGTGCACCGCGACAAGGCCTACCAGGTAACTGCAAGCCGGGTAGTCTAAGGAATTCCGGGTTTTCAACTTTGGGTTAGGGGGCTCAGCCTCTTGAAAGTTTGTGTTTCGCGGAGGTACAACAGGTCGAATAGGAAAGGTCGGACATGCAGTGAAGTGGATTTGGGAAAGGGACTAGCAAACGTGGGCTTTTTTACCGCACTAACAGCCCTTCGTCCTCTACTGACACGCCTCTCGTTCGGTGGCTCTCGTTCTGGTTAAGGTCGTAGGTTGCAATCCATCCGGTGGCGCCAGCATGGCGCTGCCTTTGCACTATACAGGCCCGTTTGCCGATTCAGTATAGCCTTGTAGCAACCGCCGACTACGAACCTTGAAAAGCCAAGAGTTTTTCCATCTCCAATAACGAACATCGCACTGCAGGTGGGCCGTGCGCTGACGGAGAAGCTGAAGGAGCTCATCCCGCGGCAGATGTTCAAGATCCCCATTCAGGCCACCATTGGCGCCAAGGTCATTGCGAGCGAGAGCATCGCCGCAATGCGGAAGGACGTGCTCGCAAAATGCTATGGTGAGCTGCGCTTAACTTGGCCATCTGCGGTGTCAGGTGCACATGACAACCTCCGGCCTGTTCTATAAGCTGAGAAAACGTTTGGCCGTGCTATAGTTCGGGTTCTAAACTTCCTCTGGCAATCAGCATATGAGCATCAGTTTAGATATATGCTGGCACCACTGAAACTGAATAACGAAATGTTTGCCCTTCGCGCCTTCAGAATGCGACAGCTTGCTTGCAAAGCGCTGCGGATAGGGGTTTCAGAACAAGTAAAGCTGAAACGCGCAGGGCATACCGGTGCTGGATTACTGAGCCGGCTGTTGCTGGTGGCAAGCTTAGGAGGCGAACTTTCAACCCCCCTTCCAATCGGTTGTATTCTCGTCATGGCGACTCTGGATGTTTCGAGTTTTGAACGGTTTGTTCAGCCAGCGTTTCTAGTCGTAATTGCTGTTCGTCGAAACGGGTCTCTGCGAGGGGCAACCCTGTTTGACATTCTGAGTTCCTTATCCAGCTGATCTGTCAGCCAGGCAGCCAGTGTTGGAATTTTCACAAGCTCTGCTCATCTTTCGGTGCGCAGGAGGTGATATAAGCCGGAAGAAGAAGCTGTTGAAGAAGCAGGCGGAGGGCAAGAAACGCATGAAGTCGCTAGGCAAGGTAGACGTGCCGCAGGAGGCGTTCATGGCGGTGCTGCAACTAGAGCGGCAAGTCACGTGAACACGTGGCCCATACTAGCATTCTTTTGTAGATATTCAAGGGGCTCTCCGGGTTGGCAGACCGCACAGAAACAAGGACGAGATCGAGACGTTCTTGCAAGCGCTTGCTTCCAAGCTTTATCTCGATGGACAGTAGCAAATGTCACTCGACGCCTCTAGTTTGGACATGATGGCTTGTCCAATGGAACATGGCAGCTGCGGGCCACTATAAACATGTCGTAACCTGTATCCAGTCTATGATGCAAATGACATGCGTCAATACAAATATGCAACCGGAAGTTGACCGTGGCACTGCCGCTGGCTAGGGCTTGCCACTGAGCCAGCTTTTTGACTCGCTTACTTATTGATTCATGTGCATGTGTTCGTTGTGTTTTGCAGTCCTTAAGCAAGCACCGGCCGAATCATACCCAATTTCTTGCATTATCATGCAAGCTGATTGCATGTACGTACTCAGTAAAGCTTCAGTTCTGGGAAACTTTGCAATGCAGTCGGCGTTGGAAAATTGCTTGCCAATTACTATCGCTAGTAACACCCGTCGTAACCCATCATGCCTGATTCTCAGCCTGTGCGCGTGCACATGCTAGTGAGACATGCATGCATTAGTACAGGCTATAGCATGGCTGCACCGTGCCTCATTTCACCTTTGTGAATAGTCGCGTGCTCAGCGGTGATTTACAGGTGCGTTCGTCCAAGGTCAATACTGAAATTCATAAACGGACACGTCTCCTGCGTGATAGATTTTCGTTCGAAACAATTGCTAATCCGGCTGTACGTCCTCTAGCTGTTTGCTTCCAAAGAATGAATGAATAGTATAACTGTTTTACATGTTTGACTGTATGGCTCAAGGTTCCCGCTGTCTACCTCATGTTTATCCACGTATATTTGCTTGTTACCTGGTTCTCGGTCAAATGGTACAACTTCACTGCGTCCGTGTGTTAGAATCTAATCAAAAGTGTGTCGAGTTATCCAACTGCCTCGAGTCCTATCACGCGGCTCGGATAGCCACAGCGTTTCTCACGACTTCGTTCAGTGCAGCCACAACCGGAGATTGCTCCAGTTGCGGCTTTGGGATTGATGACACCGGTGCAGATAAAACGGAGAAGGATCTCGCGAGATTGGCCACCGGCCTGACGTTGTCTACAATCACACCGTCAACCCCCTGGAATTGCTGGAAGAAGACAGCCTCCGGCAGATTGCTGCAAGATGGAAATGAGAGAACATCAACGTCGAGTACCTTGCCTGTGTGACATCAGCGTCTGCGAAGTGACAGTCGAGCGACAATCGTGAAGGGTCAAGCGAAAAGAGGCGTAACAACAAGGCCCTTTCGAAATAGGCTGTCAAGCAAGAAATGCTCCCTTCCAGAACGACCTGAAAGTTCTAGCGCCTAAAGATCACGCAAAGGATAGGGGATCGAATCTCCCAAAGATGACACAGCAAATCATTCGGATGCTACAGGTCTTTTGCGTCAAACTTGCAGTGGGGTCCACGATCTAGAGCCAACAGATGCCGTCCCATTGTCGATCTTACGGTCCAGGATCAAGAACCCTGCTCCGAGCAGATTAAAATCCGTGGCAGAATTGACGAAACAGCTGCAAAAGAAGCTTCAGAAGTCGTTCGCTTACTTCTCCTCCCCGTAGGTGTACAGGCCCAGGCCTTGGTTTTTGATGACCCTGATCATTTCCGGTTGTCTAAGAATGGCGGTCACCTCCGATACAATCCCCTGGAGTTGATCTGTACACAATAGAGATTGCCGACTCAGCGGAGCTCAGTATCTTCCTGAAAGACTCAGTCATAACAAGCACCAAATCCTGACAGCACCTTCGTCTTCCGAAAACAGGCATTGTCATTCTGATGCAGAGCTAGTACCGAATCTCCACCTGTCCGCTTTCAGACAGGGCAACTAAGTTTGGCGCCACCTCTGCAAGGGAGGACCTCGCTTATGAACACTCACTTGACGTGCAGAGGTCAATAGCTGCAGCGAGCGAGTTTCGCCGAGGATCTTGGTAGAGATCCGAGCCCCCGTCAGTCAGGAAAAACACCTGAAACAGAAAGTCAGTGTGAATCAGAATTGCCATTGGAAAGCCATTGCTATGCGCCCACCATTGCTCACACGTGGTTGCTACGAACATCACTCCACCAGTTTGCACTACTGGTACTCTGATCGAAGCAAGCTCGCTATTAACACGTTGGCATTAAAACCTTACCAAGGGGGCACTCTGCAATGTTCTTGAGCTGCGCAAAATGGGAGAAATGACTGCACTGCTGCTCGATGGTGTTTGTGCGAAGTCGCTCAGAGGTGCTCACAGGATAAGTGCTTTGCAGGCGGCGGAGTAGAATTGCGGCGTCTGGATGGAAGGTGGAGAAGATGATGCGGCGATGGCCCGCATTTGCCTTGACATCTGCCAGAGTGGCCGTCACAACCCGCGCGATCTCTTCAAGGGACTCCTCTGAGTCCAAGAATTTTACCTGGGGAGGTGATGCAATCCTGGTCAGCTTATGAGTGTCAAGAGAGGGGTTATGGGCGAGACAGGCACTATTGCCGGCCGTGATCAAGGGACACACCAGGCAACTGTCAGGCAGAATGTTGCTTTGATCAGGACACTCTGCATAAGGTCCAGGATAAACCCCGCTAAACTGTCAGATTACCCATTCAACTGACTTAAAAACACTTCGCAGTGGGAATGTCTCGAGTAAGCCCTGTAAATCAAAGAGCTCTGATCTTCCAGCTTACCTCAATGTTAAAGCCCACGGTCTCTGCGACATTCTGAAAAGCCTCCTTCAGCGTACAAAGGGGCCCCTCCATTGCACACTCCCATGGCTCCAGGATCCCATCACCAGCTCGCCGGAGCAGCGGCCGACCGCTGAAACCTGCCCCCTCTTGCGGCCCAATCCTCCTGAACTCATCTATTGTCAGATCCCCTATCCTTCTAGACTCTTCTTCCGACGTGTGGATGTAGTCATCATGGAAAATGACAGCGTGACTATCTTTTGAGACTTGGACATCAAACTCAATGAAGTCTGCGCCGTGGTTGCCAGCTAGAGCAAATGATCTAATTGTGTTCTCTCGGATGTCAGGCAGCCCCTCTACTCCCCCCACCCAGGCCAGCCGCTTGCTTTTGTTCTTTCCGGAGCCTCTGCAAGATTAACGAGTTAGCCAAGTTAAAACTATGTAAGAAATTTGTATCAGGAAAAGGCATCGCGCAATCTCAAGATTTTGATAGGCACTGAAAGCATGTTAGGAATGCTAAGCTTCACCTGGCCACCACATCCTGCTATCATTGATTTGCATGCGTGCTGTAAGTGGAATGCACCTAGAACTCCTCACCTATGACCCACGATAGTGACGCGAGAGCGACCCTGACCAGTTTCTACCCTCCCCCAGTAGCTGGTTCTCGAGGGACTCAGGATGGAGATGGACTCTGCTCCGAACCGGCCCCTCTTTTCTGCTTCTTCCGTTTCTATCTGCGGCCAGGCAAAGCTACCGGGCCGCAGAAGAAAGGTCTCCACGATTTTCTGACTTGGATTTGCAGCTAGAGTTGGGGCCCTTTCAAGAGGACTGCCACACAAAATATGCATGAATCAGCTGCAATTGGATATTGGTTAGATAGTCCAGCTTGGAAAAGAACGGGCTCAAAATGTTGAATGCCAGGGTCCCAAAAGAAGCAGATAGAGAACTTGAAATCACAAGTGAAGTTGCTCTGAAAGTGCCTCTAAGCAAAGATAGCCGGATTGCTAATCAAGATGCTCACCTTGTGAAAGAGGTTCGAGGACTTTGCATGACGATTGTGTCTGCAAAGACAGGATACATCATGTTCAAGCCAGGAAGCGACTGTTATTAGGTGATGAACAGAACCATCTGTGCAGTTGATCAAGATGGATATCTACCGAAGCAACCAAAGAAGCATCTGGTACGCATCTGGCAACCAGTTATAGTCAGCCTCACGCGGATGGGCAGCAAAGATCAGCCGGATGTTGATTGTGGAAGAATATGCAAGAAAGCCTGGACATAACACTGAATTGACTAAAATCTCACCAACTGCACCATCCATTGCTAGCGCGTTCAGAGTCTGTCGAACACCACCGCTATTGGAGCCTCTGGAGACAGCTGACACAGCAATCGGCTGCGTGGAGCCAAAGATCGGCAGGGCCTCATTTACAAACTGCTTCCCAGGCAGCGAAAAGGACAAGCTCCTCCGGACCAACCCAAACGCAGAACTTGACCTGCCGATCACGCCTGCTACTTCCATTCTTCAAGAAGATTGCTCATGCACGGAATGTTCGATGAGGAGGAGAGCGAGGGAGGGTGTCGCTGCTCGCACAGTGCCCCAGTCGCCCTTCCCAGAGGGAATCTTTTCCCTGAAAGCAATCGCAGGATACCTTTTGGATGAAGTCCTGCGGCGGCCTCCTGCCACTTTCAATTTGACGAAGGTCCGAGGAAGAGGACTCCCTGCATGAGACGGTCTGCCTGATCGCCTTCGTACGGACATTTGCGCTATAGCCTATAGCCCAAAAGATTCTAAGACGGGGGATTCACATGGATTCACATTGGTCGTTTAATGCACTGTGAAGGCTAAAGACAGCGCACGACCGGGACCCTCCTCCGGGCCGGAAATGGAACCCGGTGGCTGCTGAGCTGCGAGCGAATTTCATGAGTGGTAGCTTTCTGAATGGAAACCGGCTACACCGGTAGGTCGATCTCGGATTCGAGAAGGAAATTGGTGGTAATTTCGTCGAGAAGATGCTCACCCATGGAATCTTGAAGAATTCGGTTGCCAGGTCAGCTCCCGGGCCGTTAGCTGGGCCAAGGCCGGCCAGCCGCTCTTGCCACGTCGGAAATTGTACGCCGTACGGCCCTGGTCAACGGCATCATCGTACGGTATTTGTGGAGGCAAGTTGCCTGTTCAGGGCTACTGCCCTACTGGGCCAGGTACATTCCAGTGACACCGGCTGAAAGCTGATACCCGCACGTCGACGCCTCACAATTGAGGTGACCGTCCGACGCCGTCGATTAACCGTTAAGTTCTGGCTGGCCAGATCGAAGGTGGTCGCTCGGCCGGGCCGCTGGATTCCCCGGGAACCTGGCGCGGCCGCGGTGAAACTTCGCCTGATGCCCGCGGCCGGCAACTGTGTTAACATGACCGGCTGTCTCGGGTTCATCATTGGGCCCGGGGGCCGGGCACTTAGTGTACTACCTACCTGCATGCATGCACGTTCACCATATCGCAACGGTCTACAGCCACCAGCTGGCAGATCGCTGCCATGGAGAGCCCGAAAAACGGGATGAACTTCATGAATTGCGCCATGCATAAAAAAATTCGTTCAGAGTAGCGAGTCATCAATTGCATTAAACTACTTGCCTTATCATGAAAAGGCCCGCCTACTTGTTGCTCGTTCCGGGCTGGCGCAATGCCAATCCGTGCTTGAGAACTTCAAAAGCTATCAGAAAAGATAGGTTATGGTACGCCATATTGATTGAAACTCAGAGAAAGTACGTCAACTAGAATTCTGTCATTGACTGCACACCCAATTGCAGTGATGCACCGCGAATACTTGTTGCCTAGAAAGAAGGTCAGCATGTTGCGGTAAAGCAATCTTGAAGTCGTATCATTGCATGCTAGCATCTACTAACTGAATCATGGGAAGTCGATGAGAGCCAATCGGACATGAACAGCTACCACTTACACATTACGTTCGCAATCTGACTCCGACTGAATTCAACGGCAAGCACCCCCTATATTGCACACAGTTAGTTCATCTCAGAGAAGGTGGTACCCGGCCAGATTCAGATCAAAGATACAAGAGGCATGGCTAAACATACCCAGTGCAAGTGCTCACATGCCAATCGGGACACAAACTGATTCAATTTCAACTTGATTAACCTCTCAAATATTACATGGAAAATTGTTTACGTCAGATTCACTCAGATTAAAACGTTTCATTGTCGCTGAAAAGAGAACAATCGATTCTTCTAAAATTGAGGCACCACCTCGTCAGGTGCCTGGGCCTCCCAATCCTGGCAGACCACCACCTGGTGGCATGCCTAGGCTGGCGGCTAGGTCCTTCATACGCTCCTTCATTGCCTGTATCATTGGCAAACACTGGTGTCAACGACTCACAGGAGGCGACCATTCATGAGTCCAGCCGGTCGACCTAGAAAACGTCTACACGTGCTTATGCATTTGCGAAGAGCAGACTGAAGAGCTTGATTAAATATATTTCCCATGTTAGGGCTTTAACATGTTGATGCCTACCCACGCAGTAGTAAAGAGTGTCTTGGAATAACGCCATAACCAATATGCAAACTGTTTGCACATGCGGACCTCTTGAAGATTCTCGGTGATTCTTACCATAGGAACCATCCTAAGGGACAAGAGGCGTCACTCCAACATTGTTGCACCTTTGCTCAACCTGGTTCCTCGTTATGGTTACCAAACAGTCCAGAAACCAGCTCGAACCTCAATGATGATAAGTCAAAACAATCAGTAGAGAGACACAAATATCTCAGAGTGAGCGCAAACTCGACACAACTCCAGCATTTACTACCCAGCCATGGAGGAAGAATTGAGCGGAACATCCAATACCGGCCGTTTGTATTTAGGCGAGAGTACATCTGCGGATGTGCCGGTTCGCTGGCAATGAACGTACCTGCACGCTCTTTGTGTGAGCGTCAATGTAAGCTTCCGTTACGAGTTCCGCTACCCGGTCAGCCCCCAGCTCCATGGCCGCTTCCGTAATCTCCGTTCGCCGGGGCTCTTGGTTGCCCGTCATGACGGCCTGTGCAAGCATACGGATGAACAACTCGCTTCCTTTCTTGTTTTTAACTTGGAGCAGAGATGGAAAAACATCAAATCTATTTTAGGCAATGATCTGCAGAATCCTTATTTCGGTTGTCATGGCAAGGACACCAAACGGCCCAACATGTAAAGTACTGACGGGCCTATTATCACCGTCGCCGCAGAGCGTGTTGTTGATTTGTCGAATCTACCACGTTGGCATATACCCAGAGGATGATATCAAATTGAAAAGAAGCAACGATTCGAGAAACAGGGCCTTCGAACCAAAAAAGGGTGACGTTGAGAAGAAAGCAGAAGAAGCTTCCTAAAGAGAATAGCACCGGACAAACAATCCGTGTTCTGGCCTCACCTTTACAAGCTCATCTGAAGAATACCCGTCAAATTCGGACCTGTAGAAAAGTGATGTGGACGGAATAAGCTGGCTTTTCATAAGGAAAGGACAAAGCAAGATTGCCATCACAAGGCTCAAAGATATGAAGAAAGCAGGACAGACTCTTACTATTGACCCAAGCACTCAAGGGAGGGAATGCTTAGCAGATTATACGTGAGCCATACGTGCTGGACAGGCCGTGAAGAAAGCAGACAGCAGATACATAAGCAATGCGGTAGAGTGGGACCAACAGGTCAACCTGTCTGGTTTAAGTTTGGCCAAAGGATGAGTTACTCACTGCGCCAATTCTTTCTGCACCTTGACTGCCTCCACCTGCACCACCTGCTGCGCTTTCCGCACAGTTTCGATCAGGCCCTGCATGTTCCCAAACATACCCGCCTGCAGGACGTCAAACACAATGTAAGAATCCACGACGCTATGTCTGTACTTAAGGGTATTTTGACCGTCACTCCCATGAATGTCATGCACTGAATCAGGAGGGTTCGAAAGCATCACAATCACTTCAGTTCCAAGGTTTCTTTGACGCCAAAATATGTGTGTGCCACGCTGCAGCGCGCCAATCAGTCAAGATGGGATAGGGTCATATTTATGATCTACTTGATCCCTTTTTTCTAAGCAGAAATGCTGGCGCGGCACAAGCGAAAGCCTGTCATGTTGCACAGTCCAGTCTACTCAAAAACTTGCTCTGTGATATTCAGAGACAAGGGGCACCATTCCTGCCCTTCAAAATAGGGCTCGTTGAGAGCAGGGTGCAGCTGCAAGTAGCAGAACAGAGGAACGTATAAGCATTTTTTCGAATATGGATTTACGAACACCCGCAATTATTGCTTCATTCTGTTGGTGGCAAAGAGGGGATACCTTCTGCTGGCTTGGCTCCTCGCCCTCGCCCTCCTTCTTTCCGAAGAAACCTGCCCGGACTTGAAAGTGGCGGGTGGCAGGTCTTTGGCGCAGGCGCTGGGCTCCGAAAGGAACAACCGACACTGGCCTCCCTGAATGACAAAACATCCTGACTTCTTCAATAATGAGTATAAAACTAGACTTTTATGAGCAAATCTACAGCGCCATCATACCTGCAATAGAAAGAAAGACAGAACAAATTCCAAGGCGACAGTGTCTCAAAGCATTGATAACTTTTGCAAATAGACCATGCTCTTCCACACTGCCAAAGGCCCAGCCACGCAAGTGCAATTGCGGGCACCATTTCAGCGTCTGCACAGAAACATAGTGAACACACCTCACACCGCACCATTACCAAAAATGGAGAACAATCATTCCGACTGTTGCTGTGTCCTTCAAAAGAGGCAGCCTGGAAGGCCAGTCTTAGTATTTCAACTTTTTCCCTGAAAGATACAAACGGCATTGGCACAGCGAGAAGCAACCTTCAGTGGGTCAATTGCCGAGCGATGAACGACCAAATTGTTAGTTCGTAAACGACAGCACACAGCTTCAAGCACAATGCCAATGCAGAATTCCGCCAGCAAGGGGTGCGCATATTTGCCATTTCTCAAATTGCCTTTTCCATACTGGCTGTGGCTACGTAAATTTTGCATGCATTCGGCACGAACTGGTTGCACGCAAGGCCATGAAACTTGCCTGCGAGCAGCTGCGCCTGACTTCCACCGCCAGCTCGGATGCCCTGGTTGCAAAACAACCCAGCCCCAGCCTGCGCACCAACCAAGGAGGCTGTTGCCGCCATGCTTCCCCAAAAAGCTGGAAAGGCAATTCAAAAGGTCTTCGGTCTCTCCTACTCCGTGCCTGCGCCTCAGGCTGTGGCGTCCTTCCCCTCCAACCTTGTGTGCTCAGACCTTGGTCCTGGTCCCTGGACGACGTGCAGGCTGCTTTGCTTCAGAGCGGCCCTGCCACCTGGCAGATATTCCTGATTTTGCAACTAGACATTGCGGAAAGAGTTGGAAGATTGTTTGACGGTTTACCGTATCCTACATCATGCAGTATTGGCAGTGTCCAGACAGTGGCATGTCGGAATCAAGTCGGAATTCATTTGCATGCTTCCTCAGCTGGCAATTACGGCGAAATAATTCTCATCGAATCGTTGTTTAAGGTAGAAGTATGGCATTCAACCGCCTGCAGAACCCTGGGTCACGTTTGGTGTCATAGAATGGTCCAAACCTAACCAAATCGAGTCGAGTTTTTTGCATTGGGTTCGGAACCCCAAGGGGGTCCTATGACCCGGGTCTCGAGG